GGGAAGGGGGTGAAGGGGGGGAGTGGGGGGATGTACGCGTGCCCATGCTTATGTCGCCACAGGTGGGTAACTCTGCAGTAGAATCCAACGCAGGGCCAGAGGAGAAACTCACTTTCTAAGAGGGAAGGAGAGGCAAAGGCTACGTAATCAAAAAGACCGCCCTATCAACCAATGCTGGAAGACTCTTTCCATGGTTAACAAGTAGAGCCCAATCAACAGCTTTCCTCCGTATAGTTTTTTCCTAATTCTGAATTAGTTCGTTCCCTTCATAATTGGGAGATAAGCGTACACCGTAACTCATGTAGATAAAGCGCCAAACCTGTGTGTGCTCAAACGAAAAAGCTTGCTTAATAGAGTCATTACTATCGTGCCGCCCCTCTTCTTACACAAGAGGCTCATCCCAACTGCAGTGCTTCGAGCGCACTCCCTACCTTCAAGGAAGGAAATCACTTCTCCACTTCCTCAACATCGTGATGCCTCCCACCTTTGAGCGTTTCGCGAAAGTGGAGGCATCAATAAATTGTTCTCAAGGTAGAAGTACTTTTGGCTAGACGGATGTGTGTATTGTGCTCGTTCCAACGCGTCAAGGTGTTCAGCGGCTGATTGCGTTAGTTGTGGATGATGAATTCTCATTAAAGTGCATTACTGGACCAATGCAAATTGCCAGCATTTGGCAGGTGATCTAAAACCGTGTTCTGTATGCGTCTTCACGACTACTTTGCGCTAGACGCCAGGACCCCCAGGTAGAAGGAATGGGTATTACCGGCCTCTCTGGGTCATAGGCATGCATTGGATGCAGCTTGAACTCTTGATGCAGGCCAAAGGGCCATCGTAAGTTTCAGGAGAGTCTAAAGACGTAATACAAGATTACTTACGTGTCAGCCTGTCTGGCATCCCATCCCCCAGTGTCGTGGGCACAGCGCCACAGTCGCCTGCCCTGAGTCGTGAGTAGAGGGGACAGCCTGCGATGAGTTGGAAGGCGTTCCTAAGAGCAAATCCCTTTGTAAGGCAGCCAACCCCACATATAGTGTGACCCGTGCAGCCCTGCGTGCACGCACCACAACTGTGAACAGTTGTTAGACAGTTACTTCTCATTCTCACCGAGTGTGCCCTCAAGTAGAAGTTTATGTTCTAATTCTAGGTGGATAACTCTAGAGGAAAACAGCAAACTGTGGTCTCGTCCCACCATTGACACGTGGACATAGAACGAGTGGTGCTCAAAGCATGAACGTTTCCCATTTCCACAGCTGAAGAAATCGGCTGAAGTAGGCAGTTTTAACATCAGAAGCGTGGAGCCCATATAAAAAACAGTTTGCAATCTAATGCTGCTGCTGCTGCTGGTATAGGTGTTAGTTGTTTAAGCTCGTGAGGGGATGGCTAGAGTGCTTGATGTGTGGTTGTGTTGGTCCGTCTGGGCGTCTACGAGCGGCGAATTCTCTAGGGTTTATTATTTAGGGTTGATGGTTTAGGGTTTGTAGGTAGTTTCTGTGGATGCCCCCACGGCAAACCACTGCTTCGTCTGCGGAGGCGATGCGTGGCGTTGGGACGCGTAGGGCGGAGGAGGAGGAGGGGGTAATGGTGTATAGTTGTAGGTATGCTTGTATATTCTTTTCTTTTTTCCTTCGTTTTTCCTTTTAAAGGAAATCCAATTGCAAAACATCCCCTGAAAAACTAAAGAAAGTGCCACACCCAACACTGCAGCAGCCGGACAGCGCCTGCATCAGCCAGCCGCATGCACCACACCCCTCTTTCTGCTAGTTGTTGCGCGCCTGTTTCGTTGCTGTCGATTCTTTCTTACAGTTCTCCTTTATGAATATCTTCTTCTTCTCTTCTTCTTCAACTCTTTCCGCTCTACACTACCGGACAGCAGCGCAACTTGCGGCTCGCCCAAGCAGCAGCAGGCCTCCCTTCTTCTTTGCTCTCGACCTCTGGTGGTACGCCTTTCTGTCTTTGCTGCAGCAGCTTCCTCTACAACTTGCTGCAACCTTCTCCTCTGCTCAATAGAGGGGGAGGAAGCGCAGCAGCAGACTCCTCGTGTGTGTTGCTGCTGCTCCCTAGCAGCAGCTCTTATGCCCTCTTACTATAACAGTTCCCATCCATTACTTTATTTGTTGCTGCATGCATTAAGGATGTCTTGTCTGCGTCATTAAGGGCATTTCCCTTTTCTTGCTGCAGCTGCAGATACACCTCAACAGACACACAAGCAGCACATACATACACTTGGCTAGGGGTGTATGCATGCATTACCCGCTTGCTGCATGCATGCAACAGGAAGGAAGACACCTTAATATGTCTCGTTGCTTCTGCATTGTTGTTGCGGTGTCTGTACACCGTACCACGGTGTCAGTTGCTTGTGTCGCACCTTAACTGCTTGCTGCGTTGGCAATACATAGCAAGACTCAAGAGGAGCAGCAAGACTCTTGCTGCTGCTGCTGCTGCTGCTGCTGTTTGTTGTCTTTGGCCGTATATCTTGTTGTGCTGTGTGGTTGAGTGTGTGTTGCGCTTGTCTGCAGAAGGGCGCTGCGTCTTCTTCTTTGCCTTTTAGTATACCTGGCAGCAGCAGCAGCAACAACAGCAGCAGCAGCAACGGCAACAGCAACAACAACAACAGCAGTGGCAGCAGCTGCAGCAGTTATATTAGAGGTTTATTTACCTCCTTATTTGCTGCTTGGAGGCGCAGCAGCAGCAGCTAGTTGATGGCAATAGCTGACGAGGAGGCGGGCAATGCCTGAGACTTAAATTCTCGCGTTGCTGCCTTTTTGCAGCAGCAGCAGCAGCAGCATCTTCATCACCAGCAGCAGCAGCAGCAACAGCAGCATCAGGTTCTCTTTTTGAGTCTTGCTTGGTGCATTATTGGGTATTGTTGCTGCTGTTGTGTTATATAGGCAGCTGTGTCTTGTTGTGTATTCCCTAATAATAGGGTGTCTTTGCTGCTGCATTAGACAATGTCGAAGCAGCAGCAGCAGCAGCAGCAGCTACATCAGCAGCAGCTGCAGCAGCAGCTGTTACTTCAGCAGCAATCAATGGAGGAGGGTGATACAACTCCTCCTGCATCTCCTGTTGATGGTGCAGATGCAGAGCAGCAGCAGCAGCAGCAGCAGCAGCAGCATGAGCAGCATCTGCAGCAACATCTACAGCATAATTTATGTCGTCGTGCTGCTGGTCCTGTATCTCCTCCCCATACCCATCATGGTACTAATCAGCAGCATCAGCAGCAGCATCAGCAGCAGCAGCAGCAGCAGCAGCACACAGTCCCTGATTATTCATTGAAGTCCCTTCCTCCTCCATCAGCATGGGAGTTGGATTTTTCGATCCCATCATTCCTTCCTCGTTTTGGCTCAAACAGCAGCAGCAGCAGCAGCAGCAGCAGCAGCAGCAGCAGCAACAGCAGCAGCAACAACAGTATCCCAGGAGAAATAAGTGAGACAGTAGGAGACGTATTAACAATATATAGTCCATGGAAGGAGACACCTGCAATACGTTTCCGTCTAATGATTCATCCAGTGTCTCCTGTAGGTACAGGAGTAGGAGGAGGAGGAGGAGGAGGAGGAGGGGGGGGTATAGGTGGTATGGTCCCTGGTTCAACAGTAGGAGGAGGAGGAGGAGCAGCAGCAGCAGCAGCTGCTGCAGCAGCAGAAAGGAGACACTTAGGGGCATTCTTAGAGACAGGAGCAAGAGAGGATTTTCCTATAGATTGGATATTTCAGCATGGTGTACGTTTTTATATATATATTATTAATCCTATTGATTATAGACAATCCTTATATAAGCAAGATATATATACATTCTCTATAGAGGATATAGATAGAGGTTGGCATAATTTTATTTCTTATAAAGATCTACAACAAGAACAATTCTTCTCTTCTTTTCCTCCTTATTCTCCTTATACTCTATTCTTTAGGGCTGGATGTATACCTGTATCTGCTGCTGTATCCAGAAGAATCAGGACTCCTTGTCCTCCTCCTCCTCCTCCTCCTCCTATTCATAATAATAATAATAATAATAATAATAATAATAATAATAATAATAATAATAATAATAATAATAATAATAATGCAGATACTTCTTCTGCAGTCGTTAAGAGACAAAATCAGCAAGAACAGCAGCAACAGCAGCAGCAGCAGCAGCAGCAGCAGCAACAACAACAACAGGGATGTGGTGCTACCCAACCAGGAGGTTTACCTATAGTTACATGTCCTCCTCCTCCTCCTCCTCTTCCTCCTCCTCCAGGTGTATGTGTATCTGGTACAACAGATGGAGGAGGAGGAGGAGGAGTAGGAGGTAAATCATCATCAGCACAATCAGCACAATCAGCAGCAGCAGCAGCAGCAGCAGCAGGTAGTCTAGGTCGTAATGGTATAGGGTATGTAGGCCTACGTAATCATGGTGCAACTTGTTACATGAATGCATTAATACAAAGTTTATATTATATAGGTAAATTTAGGGAAGCTGTATACAATATAACATTTAATATATATAATACATACGGACAACGTAGTGTATATTTATTATATAAACAAAAACAATATTATAAAAGAAAAAGAGCAAGAAATCTTTATTCATCTTCTTCTTCTTCTTCTTCCTCTTCTTCTTCCTCTATACAAGGAGGGGTTCATCATCAAGGGGATATGCATACTCCTCCTCCTGCTGCTCCTGCTGCTCCTGCTCCTGCTGCTCCTGCTGCTGCTGCTGCTGCTGCTGCAGGAGGAGGAGGAGATAGGGACTGTAATGGTATTATTAGCTCACAACATGAAGGGTTAATGGATGTTGAGGGACCAAGTCCTGCATTATCTGAGACAGAGATACCTCCTGCTGCTGCTGCTGCTGCTGCTGCTGCTGCTGCTGTTGCTGCATCTTCTTCTGGTGCACCAGGATGTGGTGGTAGTGTTGTTGTAGGAGGAGGAAGAAGAACAAGAAGAGGAAAGAAAGGAAAAAGAAGAGGAAAAGGAACAAAAACAAGAGGAGGAAGAGGAGGAGACAGTATAATGATGATAAGGGACATACAACAACAGCAACAACAGCAACAAGAAGAAGAAGAAGATAATAATAATACATGTACATTAATAGAAGAGGATGGAGATGAGGAGACAGAAGAGGAGACAGAAGAGGAGACAGATACAGATACAGAAGAAGAAGGAGAAGAAAAAGATAATAATAATAATAATATATTAGATGATGAAGAAGAAGAAGAGGAAGAAGAAGATGACGAAGAAGAAGAAGAAGATGATGATGATGATGATGATGATGGTATTATATCTGAATTAGAGGAAGAAGAAATAATGGATCTATTAAGAGAAGAAGAAAAAGAGAGACAGTCTCCTCCATCTATATCATTAGCCCTACAGAATTTATTCATAAAATTATTTACTGGGGAAGAAGCAGTAGGGTATAAAGATCTAATTCGTTCCTTTGGTTGGGATGCAGCAGATGCATTTACGCAACAAGATACACATGAATTATATAAATTATTAATAGATAAGATAGAGGAGCAAATAAAAGAGAAGAAAAAAGAGGAAAAAAAAGAGGAAAAAAATAGTATAAAAAATATATTTGTTGGAGAAATGGAGACTTATATTGAATGTATTAATATTAATTATAAAAGTATAAAAAAAGAAATATTTTTAGATATTAATTTAGATATAAAAGGATGTAATAATATACAAGAAAGTTTAATTAAATTAATTACTTATGAATTATTAGAGGGAGATAATTCTTATGATGCAGATATACATGGTAAACAAATCGCTAAAAAAGGAATTATTTTTCGTCGTTTTCCTCCTGTTTGTGTATTTCTTCTTAAAAGATTTGATTTCGATTTCCATAGAATGGATACCGTCAAAGTATTCGATAGGTACATTTATTTTTTTTTTTTTTTTTTTTTTTTTTTTTTTTTTTTTTTTTTTTTTTTTTTTTTTTTTTT